TGGGGGGTGACGGTGGCCCTGAGGCCCGCTGCGACCCGGCCTCTGATGCCCGTGTGTTCCCGCAGAGCCCCAGGAGACGGAGGAGCCCGCACAGAGCACGGGTCTTTTCGAGGCAGCGAACCGGGAGTTCGAAAGCACCAAGGTACGGCCCGCGGGCAGCGCTGCTGCTGCTGCGGTTGGAGTGAGTCCAGAGGAGGCCACGAAGATGCTCAGAGGGCTGGAGCCCCTCTGCCATGAGGGCAGGCTGAGAGAGTTGGGCTTGTTCAGCCTGGAGAAGAGAAGGCTCCGGGGAGACCTTATAGCACCTTCCAGTGCCTGAAGGGGCTATGGGAAAGCTGGGTGTGGGGGTGTCTTTTTACAAGGTCCTGTAGTGACAGGACAAGGGGTAACGGGTTTAAACTGGAAGAGGGTAGATTCAGATTGTATATCAGGAAGAAATTCATCCCGGAAAGGGTGGGGAGGCACTGGGACAGGCTGCCCAGAGAAGCTGTGGATGCCCCATCCCTGGGAGTGTCCAAGGCCAGGCTGGATGAGGCTTGGAGCAACCTGGTCTAGTGGAAGGTGTCCCTGCCCATGGCAGGGGGGTTGGAACTGGGTGGTCTTTAAGGTCCCTTCCAACCCAAACTGTTCTGTGATTCAAATTTCTTCTCACCATGACATCTCTTCCACTGTGGCTAAGTGGGAGCTTCGTGTGAGCAATGAACTGTGCGGCTCATGACAAACGGTGTCTTGCTGTGATGTATTTTCTTAGTTTGATTCCCTGCCCAGGTTCAATTGAGGTAATTAATGTGACAGTATTGTCACACTAAAAGCTCTGTTGGTAGTGGAAGTCATCCTTTTGCTCAGGCATAATATGTTCCTGCAGTTGCATTAACATTTGCAGTTGCCTTTTATACCTAGTTTGTTCAAATTCTCCCTTATACAAGATCACAGAAAGGCATGAAATACGTCCTCATTAACACGTACGGCTTCATTTCAGTCAGTGACTTTTACTATGCCTAGCAATTTCTGAGTTTATGATACACTGCACAGTAACAGTGGAAGGTGGTTGGGTAGCAATGATAAAAGCAGCTTGCCAGCAAATACCGTGTCTAATGGCTCCACTTCTTTTGTTTTTAGTCAGGAAGTGATGCTTCGGACATTTCAGAAGAACTTTCTACACGAGATGGAAAGTCCCCAGGAGAAACAGCACCTGGTCTGAAAACTGGACCAGAGGACTCTGCTGTCCCTGACATTCAAGTGCAAAGGGAAGAAAGACCAACAAGCACTTGGTCGTCTTCCAGTGTGGTGGGAGAAGTAGTGACCACTCTGCAGCAGTTCATGGAGAAGTTCGGCGTGGACCTGTTCACTGTTACGCAGGCCTTCCTGAAAAACACCGGTGAAGTGGAGACTACTTCATACTTTCTGCAGACGGGGCAGCGCTTGGATGGGTACCCTGTGTGGAGCAGAGAGGATGATTTGGAATTGGAAAAAGATGATGAATATGTCAGAGAGAAATTGATAGCAAAATTTGGAGCTGAAAACGTAGCAAAGCGGGTGGCGTTTAGGAAAAGTTAGATAGTGAAGCTGAGGGGAATGACTGACCTGGGGCTGTGGCAGGAACTTAAAAAAAACAAAGTCACTTCAGAAATGCAAATGCAATACAAATTTTGATGCAATGTTTTGGTGTTTCAGAAATGCTTGAAAATAATATTTTTATAAAAGGCCGATTTTGTATTTTATTTTTATTTGTAATACTGAGTACACTGAACATTTAAAAGCAGGAAATGGTGAAGAGAAAGGGTCTATACAGTACTGAGCTTTCACTGAAAGTTTGCTTTAAAGCGTGTGCCTGCTGTACACGCCGGCTGACGGTCCTACCTGCACGTTACTCCATGCAAAGGATTCGGAGTAGGGTTGGCAGCAGAGTCTGAGAGAACCACCTCAAGTGCTGTAACCCGTAATGCATCGTTAGTGCACCACAGCAGCCCCTCTCTCACGTGTCTTGCTTCAGCCTGTTGTGGGTGACCATTTAATAACCTGCTTTGCCACTTGCTGCCTTTGTTGTTAATGAACCTTGATTAGCAGCAGACATTTGGAGAGAGTAGAAAGAGGGATCATGAACGTCCATGCCGGAAGATGAGGCACTTGGTCTCCGAAATGAATGCTGGGATGTCTCGGAGTGGCCATCTGTGCTGGGAATGGCCAAGAAAAGTCTCTGTGACATTGCAATACTCAATCTCGTGTTACAGAGATCTGTCGGTTAAAACCTCAGGCCAGTAGGCAATTACTGCCACTTCAGCACGTGTTCTCCAGTGCTAATGCTACAGAGTGTGTTTAGAAACATTAACTCCACCCCAGCCCGCATCCCTGCAGATGGAAAGGTCCCAGCTGCTGTAACCCTGGCAAAGTTACACTTGCACCAGACCATACAGTCTACTTGGAAAAAACTGACCAGCTTTCAGGGCCACGTGCAATAGGTCAGGTAGGAGATACAAGTTAGCAAGGAGTGCTCAGAGTTTATTTATGTATCTCTCACTTCAGTCATGTTTGAGGGAGAGAGAACACTGCAAGTGCACAGTCACAGTCTGGAAAGCTCTGTGCTTTCAGCATGAAGTCATGCTCTGGTTGCTATTAATATTTTTTGAAGTCCTGTAAATCTGGAATTCACCCTTTTGGTGAAATAAAATGCCTTCATAAAAGTGAAGATTGATGATTTTGGGGTTTTTTTCCCCCTAGATCTCTATTGTTGGGGTTGGGCTTATTGCACTGCAGCACTCAAAAAAATCAAGGTGCGTTGCCAATTTTAAGCCAAATTATAGTGAAAGACAACGATAAGTTGATATAATGAGACTGCTGCTTCAGAAAAGCACCGTCCTGAAACACCAGCCGATTATCTGGGGCGTTAACTGATGTAGCCAGGTAAACTGTTGGGAC